TTGCACAAAACGGAGGGTCGACAGGATGATGTCAGCATGCCGAGCGTGTTCCGGATCGGGCACCGTTCCGCCAGGTCGGTGCCTCCGCGACGTCAGCATTTCCGAACCTCCCTGCAGCGCGTCCAACAAGTCAGCATACGGCGAGGAACCATAAAAGGGAGCCTAAGGACAAGTTTTCTTTGGTCTGCACGCCCCGCTTCCGTCTCGATTGACGAGCACGCCTGGGTGCCTGCAGATCAAACATCGATTAACCGCGCTGATGGGGTTGGCTGGTTTCTCGCGAAAAAGCGGCGCGGCCAAGGATTTGAAGAAGCGCTGTAGGTTCGGAACAAACCCCTCCGGCCGTGAGGACGGATCCGACGGCACGGAGGGGTTTGTGTCATCATCGCTCAAATTGACCAACCCGGATTTGGACCTGCACTCGGAAGCATTCCGCAAACGCCCTCCGACACCTCAAAAACCGCAAGTACGAGCCGAAGGTCGCGTTTGCTGTCGTGGGTAGTATTCGGACCTAAAGATACATCTAAAACACGCTGTTTGGACATGCTCAGTTCTTGAGAAACGCTCACATGCACGCGCGTCAGCTAAAGAGTTCTCAACGCGACCCGTCTCTTGCACCTTGTATAACCCTCTGGAGTCGTGGGATTTCTAGACAGTAAAAGCGCAGTCCTGTACTTTTGCTTCTTGTGAATATATTTTCCATAGCAAACGTGGCCAGAAATTGCGGCGGTGAAGAGCTATTTGCCAAGTCCAGGTGTGCGCGATCTGCGTCTTGGTCATAAGCCCCTCCTGCGTCGGACTCCCGGCCGAGGCCGGGAGGGGCTTTGATGAGCCTAGGCGCGGCCAAGGATTTGAAGAAGCGCTGTATCCTATGTACCACGTCCTGATTCGAAGCGAGATCGATAGCATGTGTATTGTGCGCATAGCGTGTGGGGAGGGTCGTGAGCGAGAGTGTGTCAACTAATGCCTACGTCGAGTGAGGGGAATGGGAGAGCAATAATGGTCGTAACAAGTCGTCAGATTAAGAGTCTAGAGGTCATGAACTTGATGGTGAGACGGGAGAGCACGAGCCTGAGCTGTCTCGTCGCGGTGGCAACGCCAAGTACGACACCGTAAAATCTACCGGCGCGCTGACAGCCTCTGCGCGCTTGAGCGGCGCATGGGTAAGGAGACCCGTCGTATTGGCAAACGACAACGGGTGTCGCGAACCGATCTCGAAGGACACGCGCGCGGTAATACGGAAGAAGCGTTCCCGCGCACTCTTGAACAAGTGCATCGGGATGCCCATGGTGAAGCCACACGACATCGGAGCTGTCCGACCCGCCGTGTGAGCAGTGGGAACCTTGCCCGCCCCGCGACTCCCTCCCTGCACAGTATTGGCATTGTTTGGATTGAGAACAATGTCAATCAGCGTGCCCGTGCGTCGACGTTTCCCAGACATGTCGGTGAAATCGAAGTACGCGGGTGCGTCCTCCGAGTCCTTTGCGTGCGGTCCGTGGTTTTGGGAGTACGTTTGCAGATGAAGGGAGATATCAGTCACATGGTAGATGTCGTCCGCCGAACGCTGGTTGTGATCGATGAATGCACAGAGGTAGAGGAGACCTCGAACGACGTATACCTCCTCTCTATAAAGTTATGAGCTGACGTATCTGGTACGCACAAAACAGGCTGACCTGATTTCACGCTCCCAAACCGTGTAATGCCTCATCGACGACACCAGTTTTCGATTATCGACAACGACGTCCTCGGCAGCGGCGCCGAGTACAATGCGAATGTAGCCTTGCTGAGAACGAGACGGCGTCACTTGAGACTACACGACTTAGTAAAACGAGGATGGACTACTGACAATCTGACTCACAGTAGGATTCACGGTCGGGGGAGCTGACCCAGAGCGCGGGATGTCGGGAGGAAATAGTACAAATCCCTGGTCAGCAACCTCCCCATCCTGCTGTATGGTTTTGAAGTCTGCGGGCATGAGAGTCTTCTGGCGTTTCAGACGAGAGATAGGCGCGGTGGCGGAGGCTCCTAGACTCCCACGCCCAGAGGTCGAAGACAGCTTGGAGGTCGCGCGGTCCGAGAGCTTGCGACGAGCAGGCACGGCAGGCGCATCACGAATGGGCTGCAGAGTATGCAACTGCGCTTTGGGAGAGCTGACGGTAGAGAAGGGTCTTGTGTCCGGTGCGGGAGCCGTATCGTCCTTCGAGGGCGGGTTGTCGAAATCCGACGGCCGGAGGGTGCGCATGTGACGAAGGGTCTTGTCGGCGAGAGCGAGAGTCGTTTCCATGCTCGCCACGGAGGTGGGGGAGAGCGCGACAGTTGCCACGCCCTTCAGGGTAGGGGAGGAGATAATCACAGACGCGGTCCTTATGAGGGGTGGGCGCGGCCGCGGGTTGGTCGTGTGTGCAGACGCAGAAGTCGTGAGAGTCGTAATGGTGGTGCTTGTCATGGACCTGTCGTGCGTGGTGGTCGTGGTGGGCGTTGGTGGCGAAGAGCACCCTGCCCCTAAGCGGTACCCACGATCAAGGGCCCGACGCTATCCGCTGTGCTAGTCACGCGCGCCGGAGACCGTCGCGTCAACGGATCTCGCGCGTGCGCTGGTCGCTGAAGAGTCAGAGGGCAAGGGCTGTGAGAACGGTCTGTGCGCTGTGCCGGGCGCTCTCCGCCACGGGCCCTTTGTTCGCCTGGCTGGTCAGCCACACATGGTATTGTGCCCGTTTTCCCAACGTGGCAATAGGATTCTGGCTGCATACGCTCGCCTTGCGGCCGACTCTGGCAGCGAGCAGCTAGGTTCTGGAGCACGCATAATATGTTACGCGCAAGAGTCGGGCGCTCTCGAGGACGTCACGAGAGGAGCAGTGCTCGGCGCGGCGCCCGCCGGCGCGCCTCGACGCCTCCATCAGGATCTGGTTCAATTCCATCGCATACCTGTACCGTCTACTTCAGAAGTATCGTAACTTAGACTTTCCTCTCTGTCGTCCAAGTCTCTCCTTAGCTTGTCACCCTCCGACGGGGTCAGCATTCAACGTTTGCTCACATCCTCTGAACAATGCAGATCTGACTATCTGCAGCCGCAGCTTCTGGCATTGTAACAATGTCTCGTCCACGCGACTCTGACAGAGTCGCGTAAGATCCGCAATACAACCCATTGCGTCCACTCCTAGTTCGTACATAGCACGGTGTGTCCGGCGGCCTGGAGGCCAATTGCGAGAGCCACCTGATAGCTGAGTATTTTGCTGTAGATTGCGAGACCGTAGCTCTCTGTGCGTACGCAAGCCATTCGCGACAACCAGATGGCCGCATAGTCACAACATCGTTTGCCAAACGGAAGGCGAGCGTTTTTCGAGTCGCTTCGGGGAGTTGGAACTTGACGATGTCGAGGACAGCACTAGTATACCATGATATTGCGGGTGCGACTGCGGTAACAAATACATTATGAACGCGACTCACTCTCAAAGCAAAAACGCCACGCGCTGTAGAGCATGGTGGCGAAGAAGGCGGCTTGCGGGGCTCCCGCGAAGCCCCCACAAGGACGGCACCGCCGGGCTCCTTCATTCTATGACGCCAAGGTGGTCCTCCTTGATTGTCCCAATAGCAAACTGTACGACAGGTCAGGACGCGTGGCGCGGGCGAACAGGGGAGACGGCGTACGATTTCCGTTGCGTCGACACGCGTGCCGACGATTTTTAAGCGTACGTGCGTGTTTTTCTCGATGATCTGCGCGAGTTCGGTGCGCGGTACTGCGCGTGAGTGCCGCACTGACCTGCTCATCTGAAGCGAAGGACGGCGGGTTGGAGTTCGGGTCGAAGCGCATGTCCGGATGTATCAACTGCGCGAACTGTGAGCGCGCGCACGACGAGCATGGGTGTCAAGAGAGCGTACTTGAGCAGACACGAAGACGGAGAGCGGCCCGACGTCCGCGAAAAAGCCCATCTACGAGCGCGGTGTGAGACACGCGTCCGACCGAGCACGTTTCAGCACACGCGCACCTTCAGGACCGAGCTCACGACGCCGTCGACGACCTCGCCCTTGAAAGGCTTGAATACTATGGCGCGGTACCGCGTGACGAATTCAGCCTGGCCGGAGCCGGGGAGCACGACGCCGCGGCCGATGTCGACGAGGTCGATGACGGCGATGATATAGCCGAACTGGCCGGAGCAGGTGCCCTCGACGTCGGCGTAGAGCTTCTTCTCGAGAAACTCGTGCATGCGCGCGCCGAAATAGGACGGGTGGAGAAGGATCGTGTGCGTGAGCTCTTTCTGCGGGCGCGCTCAGCATGCCTCGCGACGGCCACAGCTTGCTCGCACAATGAAGAACATTGGGACAGAGCCCGGCGCGCTGGCAATGGGCGCGAGCTTCGGGCGTCGTCGGGCGCGGCGGCGGCGGCCTGGTGGATGTCTCGCGCGGGTTGGTGTTGGTCGGAGAGAACCAGAGACGCGGCGCTCTTCCGGTGCTATGCCCGTGAACAACAGCAACACTCTCATAATTACCTACATTATCGTTGCACTTCTACAGGTGTAAAGTTATGGGCATGCGAGTACCTTTGCTCAATATTGAACTTACCCAGTGGAGCTAGACAGTAAATAGACCACCAAATTCCGTCGTAAAACATGTCTGGTTAGCGCAGTCGGTAGCGCGTAGGTCTCATAGCAATATGACCGGCAATTGCCGAGAAATCCTAAGGTCGCGAGTTCAAGTCTCGCACTGGACAGATATTTTTGCCTTTCCTGTGTATGTTTGTCTTTTCATGTCCGTCGCAAGCACTCACCTGGAGGCTCAATTTTGCAACCGCATATCGGTGTCGATTCGACTCCACGACTCAGGATCTTCTACGATGGCACTACCGACTTCGGAGCACACAAAGTCTTGCCCATGTGCAACTTGGCTCTAGATGGTTTACAGACGTAATGCCTTGGCTTGGGACGAAAATGTGATGCAAGGGCGACAATGTTGGCGAATTGAAACGTCAGGACAAGGAAGCAAATGTCCAGTGCGAGACTTGAACTCGAGATTGAAACTTATCCAGAGTTCATCCCTCGCCGGAGGTCACTTTCCTGGTTCATGCCTACAGATACTTACCAGGTGTTGTCGTACTATCGGCTTTTAAGTCCGATGATGTTCTAGAGTCTTGTGTTGGTAGTACCAGAGGCTACTCTGAATTATCAGCGGCTGATTGGGACGTCTGAAATCTGAAGTTCTATGACAGGTATTAAAGCCCTCCAGAGCGTTCTTCCCTGATCATGTTTTGTCAAAGAGCGATCGAGATAAAACCGTACCTCCGCGGACCTCGACTTCCCCGCACCCCCACAACCCCAGATTCTCCCCCGGCCGGACCCCTGTCTTAGCACTTTTCGGTCTCCAGTGACCTGTCGTATTCATAATGGGGACTTGGAAGGTCCAGCCCAGGAACGCTCTGCGTTCGATAATTTTCGATTGCGCCGAAAGCAGCTTGGCTCGACTCGGAGCACCTGACCCGTTCCACGCCGCGCGCTCGGGAACGCTCGGGACAACGATGATCATACCCTTGGCGTCGATCCTATGTACTGTAGTTCGTAGGTACAGGCGACATGGGAAGGACGGGCACCACCCGTGCGACGTGCGTTCCTGCGGGTCGACGTCGTCTTCGGGAGTTCTCACTGCTCAGTTCTTCCGCACTTCCATTGCGACCGAAGCATGTTTGTGCAGATGGGACGTCCGACAAGGAGAACCCAACGTTTCAGGCACGTTTGTCGCAGCTGCCAGCGGGAGAAGGTGGAAAACCACGCCCTCAATCAGCTCAGATTTCCATCTGAATCGGGCGAATTCTCGGCATGTGCGTACGAAGAATGAAAGATGCGAGGAAAATCGTATCATTCATGCACGATGAGAAAGCCCACATTGCGATGTACACGAGAAAAGCCATAAGACGTCGTAGAACAAGGGAAACAAGCTAGCAACACACAAGTCGAATTAGTGGTACGGGCAACGAAAGGTGGTACGGAGGGAGGGATGGATTGTGCGAGATCCTGGGGTTTTGAGCGATTACGCCGGGGAGACTCGGCGCTTGGGCATGTTGCCGCTGGGCAGAATGACGAAGCTGCGCGCAGACCGAGTAAGTGCCGATCAGTCAACGAGCGAGGAAACACACCTGTTGTCGTGCGTGATCAGCGCGCTCGCGCCGGCATAGTACGCGATGAAGGCCGTGAGGATGCCAAAGCCGCCACCAGCCTTGTGGATGCTGACGTTGTTCATGAACTCGCCTAGTAGCCGTCGTTAGCGTGTGTGGGCAATGTGCGCGACGTGCGACACGCACCGATCATGAGCAGGAGGAAGGTGATGTCCAGGAAGAAGAAGAGCGCGACGAGGGCCATTGTTGAGCGGAGGGACGCGATGCTAGGGTTGCATGAGCGCCCGCGTGACGTGTTTGCCAGGGAACGACATACAAGAAGATGAAGGTCACGATGAACCAGACCATCAAGAATACACCGACGGCGTTATGCTCCTGATCGGCTACGTCTCCCGTGTACGAAACACCGATGTTGGCCCCAGGGATGAAGATCAAGGCGTACTGTGCCAGCGTCAGCAGGTCAATTTCATACTTCGCTTGGACATACGGAGATCCAGAACGCGCCGTAGGACGAGAAGGCCGTTGCACCGAATGTGTTCTGCATGCCAAGCGTTAATACGAGTCTTCGAAGTCGCGGTTGATCAGGAGATGCGACGTACCCCGCAAGCAAACTGCACGCGAGAAAGTCAGCCCGGGCCAGGAAGCTGATGGGGGAGAGCGACGCACCTCCCACATGCCGGCGAGGAGCTGGGCGCCGCCACCGCAGGCGATGGCCATGCCGACGACGATGTTGGCGTTGGTGACACCCTTCACGTTGACGTTGAAGAGCGAGAGCATGAGCGTTGTCGACGCGAACGAGAAGAGACCCCTGCAAGAACGTCAGACACGCTCCCTGGACCCGACGCGCGGGCTGACTCACAGAGGAGCCGGGTTGGCGATGGTGCGCAGGTGGGTGGGCGCTGCAGCGGGGCCCGCGGTGGCCGCCGTCGCATAGCGGTCGTGGTGGTGGCCGTTGTCGGCTTTCTCGATGTCGGCCATAGCAGCTGGTGGGACGGGCTTGGGCTTGGGGGTGGGGAGCTCGAGCTGGTCTGGGATCAACTTGCGGGGGCGGGGGTTTTAAGTGGGGGATTTTCCGGGACCTATAAAGCACGTGAGCGCCCGCATTACTCCGGACTGATGCCGAGAACCGGCGCCCAAAGCCCGTTCAGTCCGTCGACATGCGCCTCAACGAGCACACCGCCGTCGTCGGCCCCAGCGTCGTGCTCGTTCCCTACAGGTCCGTCTTCTACTGCATATATCCTGAACTCTAAATTTCTGAGCGCCTGGAACCAGACAGGAACACGTTAAGGTGAGACCTTCGGCCTGGCCATGACCTGGCGCGCACCTGACCTGCCGCCGCGCTCGCTCAAGACTTACCACGAATGGATGTCAAGACCAGAAATCCTAGAGCTCACCGCGTCAGAACCACTCACACTGGAAAAGGAATACGATATGCAGCGTGAGCTTTCGAACCCGCCGTCGCGCTTCCGCTGAACCCTTGGTAGGAAAATGGCGCGAAGACGACGACAGTGAGCAGCCCTATTTCTCTGGGCTCTTGTTGTCGTGCTCATCAGTCACCAGAATTGACTTTCATTATTCTTGCACGCGACATCGACGCGTCTGAACCAGTCTCTGCCGGCGACATCACAAAATTGCCCATGGTCGGCGACGTCAACGTATTCCTCACGCAACCAGACGAGGCAGAGCTCGAAATTATGATTGCGGGTATGCTGTCGCTTGTCTTCCGGCTACTGCATGAGCTCAATTGCGAAGAGGATGCATACCGCCGCCGCGGACTCGCGCGTTGTGCCCTTCAGCTGCTCCTGACGTACATCACCGCTCCGCCGCTGTCAATCGCCGTGTCCAACCTGGTCGCAAAGATCGGCAAAGACAACGCGCCGTCCATCGCGCTCTTCCGTTCGCTCGGCTTCGAGCTCGCGACAGAGCCCAACGTCTTCAACGAAGTCTCCCTGCGGTACACCGCGACAGAGCCCGAGAGTAACTGGGTCCGCGGCACCCAGCTTTTCTATGCAGATGCATGACCCGCGAAAGCAGCCGTGCCGTCCGTATTTTCTTAGTGCATTCGAAGCCTGCGCCTGACGTGTGGACCTCCTGACCCCAGTCGGCGACCCCGCACCGGAGCCCGCCCCTCTCTCCAATACCACCATGTCTACTGCGCCGCCCAAAGTCGTTCTGCCCACTCTCGACGTGCTCGGCGTCAAGACAGACCTCGACACGGTCGACGCCAAGGCCATCGCGAACGAATGGCTCAGCAACTTTGCCCAAGCCGCCGACGTCGATGCTTTGCTCAAGCTGTTCGTCGAGGACGGGTTCTGGCGCGACTTTCTCGCCCTCACTTGGGTTTGTACTTCTGTCTCGCGTTCAGGCGGTTCATGGCAATACATTCGTCTCGTAGGATATGCGCACCTTCCACGGTCATGCACGCATCAAGACATTCCTCGAGGACCGTCTCGCGCAGTCTAAGATCAGCGATGTGAAGCTCTCCACTGCACCCGGCGAGGAGCCCGCGATCGTCAAACCGTATCCGGACCTCGCGTGGCTGCAACTCACTTTCAACTTTACCACTGGCGCAGGGATCGTTTCTGCCATCGCGCGTCTCATTCCCAACGCCGAAGATGGTGTCTGGCGCGCGTACACGCTCTTCACGAACCTCGAAGGCCTCAAGGGGCACCCGCCCGCGATCGGTCATCTGCGCGATACGACGCATTATCCCGGGACGTGGTCGGGTATGCGCGAGAAGGAGCGCGAGTTCAAGGATACGCCAGACGGGCCGAGTGTCCTCATCATCGGCGCAGGACAAAGTGGGCTCGACGTCGCGGCGCGCTTGAAGTACGTCGGTGTCCCGACGCTGCTCGTCGAGCGCAGCGAAAGAGTCGGAGACCAGTGGCGTGGACGTGTTCTGTGCATTTACGTATTGTTTGAGAATAGAGAGTTATCTAGCCGAACACGTAGCGAGCGTGCTAAGTGCCCCGCAAGACGCCCGCTAACTCCTTTGACGATGTGGCTGAGCAGCACTTTTGAGAGAGTCGCAAGTCCGCACTTTTCAGAAATTCAAAATGCGAGGTTTCGGCCTGTAAAATGCTATTTCGGGTGCAGGGCGAGCCATATCACTATGGATATAGCCCGCCCCGCCGCTATCTAAAAGCCGTGTATCTGTCTATCTACTGTTTTCGGCTTGTGTTAGAGATCACGCTGGGACAGCCTCGCGTCGTGCTGGTGTTAGAGATCACACCGCGACTGCCCCTCCGCGCCGTCTCGGTCATTAACTCGTTCAAGACCGGCGCTTACAGTTGCTGTGCGCAATTTTAGTGACCTCGTGCAAAATCGGAAGAACTACATCTCACCTTGAAAATTGCAGAGACGAGCAGAAATCTTCGGCGCCTATTCTCGTAGGGTTGTAAACTGCGCGTCACAGGAGTAAGATGGCGGCGGGGTGGGTGTGCGGGAAGCGGTTGGGGGTTGGGAAACTGCCGAAAGTGGGCGTCTTGTCGGGGCCGAGACGGACTTGGTAGTGAATATTAGTCCAGTGAGAGAGCTACCGCGGTCAATGACGAGATGCCCAGTGTTTGCCTCCCGACAGGAAGACAACACTTACTATGGTAGAA